AAAAATCTACTATAAGTACTAAAACGTAAAAATCTACTATAAGTGCTTTAATGTAATAATCTACTATGAGTACTCCAACGTAAAAATCTACTATATGTACTCCAACGTAGAAATCTACTATACGTGTGAGGAACTCCTGCTACAGATCTGAAAACTGAACTCTCAGCACAATGTACGAACGTCGTCACCGGCGAACGTCGACATTTCTACTACATAAAAGTAAATAATACAAATGTTATTCGTTTATTTATTTTGTAGCTTTTCTTATTTGGAATTAGACGCCGAGATAAGCAAATCACTAAATTAACACTCACATCTTAACAAATACTGAAATGACACAACCACTGAAATGACACAACCACTGAAATGACACAACCACTGAAATGACGCAATAACTATATCAGAGTTACTGAAATAAAACAATTGACATAAAACCATCACCAAATAACAGGCAATCGCTGAAATGACAATCACTTAAATGACACAGTTTCTAAACAAGAAACTCACTTTTTCTAATTCCAGTAGATGAAAACGTAATACTTGAATGGCTTGTATCATCTGAAAAACAAAAACAAAATAATATATACAATTCACTAAAGTAACTTTACATATTTTTACGAAGTGTTTACAATTTGCTGAAATTTAAAATTTGAAATATCATCGCTTTGTACAATATCAGCCAATCCATCAATCCTCATCGTGCCATAGGCACATGAGGCAGAATACTTGTCTCTGTTTCTGCAGCCGTGATCTTTTTAAAAAATGTGGGATTGCTGGCCCCACGTCTAACCCACGTCTTGATATATATATATATATATATATATATATATATATATATATATATATATATATATATATATATATATGGCGCTTGTAACCATGTCGGGCCCAGAAAGAGAAGGGCTTCCCTTGCCATTCACTCCTGGTCGTGTTGCAGGTCCTGTCCTATGTTGCCGGGGTGTCACCACTAGTGACCGGCCAGTAACACGACGAATTTTGTTTAATCACATTATTTTTGTGTGGTAAAGTTGATGGAAAGGGGTCTTGACTTATATTCAAATAAGGGGTGGGGGCGGGGCAATGGTAAAGATTGAAACCCACTGCTATAAAGTGTTACTCAACTACCACTCCCGCGTGATTCGTCTTTCTTCATTCTTAAAGTCTTATAGTGTGTCGTTGGGCTAAGAGTAATCTCTAGGGAGTGTCTAGCCAGGTGCAGTCTATACCCTCAGGGTCATGGAGAAATCTCAAACATCAGGTTCCTGCCTTTTCGCTACCCTGTCCGCTCGTACTTCCTTAGATGTCGACATGTGAAGTGCATGGAAAGCATACTTTTGTTATTAACGACCCGAAGCCAGAGCACTGACCATCCGGTATGGTCAGTGGGGATTGTGTCATTAGATGGACAGTCAGACCACAGGGTAGCTGGTTCTTGTCATGTGTTAACAGATAAGAGAGTCGGAGGTCAGGGCAGAGAGATTTCCCGAAAGAATTCGTGGAGAATTTATAGGTTGGATTGAAAAAAAAATGAGCTCACAGTTGCAGATTTCAGAACTTATAAGAAACGATATGTAGTGGTAATGACCATGTTTATATTATTGATTTTTGGTATGTAGTTAATAAAGATAGTACTTTCTGTAGCAGCAGCAGTAGCAGCAGATGTGTAGTTATAAAAGTTGGGGTAACGGTAGCTGCTGCAGCAATAGACGTGTATGTAGTGTAAGTAGTAATACTAGCAGTAGTAGAACGAAATGACAATGGAGGTAGTCTCAGTTGGTACTAACAATATATATATATATATATACGTTTGCTGCTGCTGCTGGTACTACTATTACTTGTACTAATAGTTGTATTACTACGAAAACTACCACCACGACTATTACTTCTACTACCACCACTACTACCACTACTACAACCATCACTACTGCTGCTACTGCTATTACACGTACTATCCCATTACCTCCTCCACATCGAGAGCTGACCGTGCATTAAAAGGAATGACAAACTCCTGAACGTTAAAGACTCAAGTCGGAAGACGCCACTAGGAAGATCTGGTGTGAGACTGGCTACCTGATCCCGTAGAAAACCTTCACTGACAAATCCATTAATAAGTCTACCACTGATTTGACGTGAGTTGGTGGACGGCATATGCTCTATTGCGAGATGAAAGGCAACAGCAAATTTGCCTACGTTTAAGCTCTGACGGCTGTTCTGAGATTCCCTCCAAGCACCATATGTAGCTTCGGGAGAAGGAGATAAGCAATCTGTAAGAACGAGGCAACTTGTCGAGCCGGCCGCATCAAAAACTCATTAGTGCTTTCACTTTCCCCGCTTTGGAGTGGTGTGTTTCCTCTGCTATGCCACCAACGAAGCGCTACCAATTAGGGTCATAGGGGGAAAAGTTGCCGTATTTGTCACACCAAATTTACTTCTGAAGTCTACCTTTGTAATATCTGGCATATTGCATTTTAATGGTGTTGATGGATGGCTCTGAAAATTAACTTACAGCAGGAGAGACTTCTTCATACCGTAATGGGGCAGGTTTTCTTTGAAGTCGGGTTGGTTAATGTCCTGCGTTGTATGCTAAACAAGAGAAGGGAACTTGTAGCGAATCAACAAGCTGTTTTCATTAGTGTTACAATAGAGGTCCATTTATTTGCCACCATTAAAATTCCACAAAAATTTATATCACAGCATTTTATATGAGAACAACGCTGTGTGGGTTCTGGAACACCCTTTAGAAGGGGGGAGAAGAATATACCCCTAGCCCCCTCCCCCATCCACCCCCCATGTCCTAAAAGGCTACTAATTAAGGGTGTTTAAAGTCAGAGTGAAGCATGTGCCTGGGAAGCAGGGAATCAAAAGTCTGCACGCAATTGCTGGGGTTGGTTCAGTGCCGACTGAACGGGGTACGCAACTAAGCTAAAGCAATTATGGAAATTGATATGTTTTTTTTGCAGCATTAGGATAAAATCTAGCAGTTTAGGTGAGTAATTTAACAGAGGTATTATCCATATGCGAAAATTGACATTGTGAACGAAAATGCATAAGTTGCAAAGTGACTTAAAATAAACTTGATGCACAAATTGTCATTTATATAATGAAAGAAAATACATTTGATGCAAAAGTTGACATTTATGTAATGAATGAAAATATATGTGATGCAAAATTGTCATTTATATTGTGAATGAAAATACATGTGACCTGTGTAAGCAGTAAATCTGAATTATAGCTTGTATTGTTTTAAAATCCCTTTGAAGATTGTATTCTTGCACTACAACATTCTAAAATGAAGACGACAACAGAGAATACGGCCAGATTGTTCATTTGAATTTCATGATTCCAGATTCCTGAAAACCGAATTTTCCCTGCCGTTCTGCGAATCCAAACCAGTCAAGGTTGAAATTTTGAAATGCATCCTAACACTATGAATGTGACGGCGTCAGAAAGTGGAATTGTCTGCATCCAATTGACGCCGATCTGCATTGTTTTCCCTGCATGAGAAAACATTGATGATATCAAGAAGGAATTTCTATCCTCCAAATTTCGCATGAAAGAGCTGGTTTCACAGAGAGGTCTCGGGGATTTCTGAAACAGAGACGGGGGTGGCTTTCACAGCCTTTCTCCTGGAGCTGCCAGATTTGAGGACAGAGAGAAGATTGATGCAGTTTTGGTTGGGCACGGCCTTTTTCTGTGTCCTGGAGCCTATTGTAGTCTAATGACCAAGGTCGGGCGAGATCTGTAAGACAGCGGTCACGTTTTTTTTTTTTTGGAGACTTCGTCTCCGGCGTTTGCCATCTGGCCAGGGAACACACCCAGATTAAATATGCGGAGATACTGGGGGTTTTCTGTAAGCTCCGGTGATTTGCAAATATTCACTTTCTGGGCAACTTTTTGTAGACACCCTACAGTAACAACTGGATTGTTTTCATTCTTAGCAGCCGTACCAAACGCACTCACGTCACTGAATTTGCGTAAAAGATCAAGGCTGGCAGTTTGTGGTTGTTTGTACGCAGAATACAGAAATGCACAAGAAATTAATATGCATCCAGAAAGTAAGCCAAACTGGGGCAGAAGCAGAAGAAGAAGAACAAGAAGAAGTAGTAGTAGTAGTAGTAGTAGTAGTAGTAGTAGTAGTAGTAGTAGTAGTAGTAGTAGTAGTAGTAGTAGTAGTAGTAGTAGTAGTAGTAGTAGTAGTAGTAGTAGTAGTAGTAGTAGTAGTAGTAGTAGTAGTAGTAGTAGTAGTAGTAGTAGTAGTAGTAGTAGTAGAAAAAGTAGTAGTAGTAGTAGTAGTAGTAGTAGTAGTAGTAGTAGTAGTAGTAGTAGTAGTAGTAGTAGTAGTAGTAGTAGTAGTAGTAGTAGTAGTAGTAGTAGTAGTAGCAGTGGTGGTGGTGGTGGTGGTAAAAGAAAGAAAAAGAAGAACACGAAAAAGAAGAAGAAGAAGAAGAAGAAGAAGAAGAAGAAGAAGAAGAAGAAGAAGAAGAAGAAGAAGAAGAAGAAGAAGAAGAAGAAGAAGAAGAAGAAGAAGAAGAAGAAGAAGAAAAAGAAGAAGAAGAGGAAGAAGAAAAAGACCTAATATGTTACTCTACACGTCCTAAGAAAATTGTAATGCGTGCGTAATGTTCCATAACAATACACAGCGCTTTAAAGTTAGTTGCGTATCCTTTAAAGGACGTTGCAGAACCAGTCCCATGTGGATGAAAGGAGTGAGGGTGTGTTGTGGTTTTTCTAGGCAAATCTCACGTTCAGTAGTTTGCTAGTCCTCTAAACGGTCAGCTCTCGGTACCACTGTCAAAGCTAGTGCAAGACAAAACGTCCGCAGCTGGGATTGAATCTCGCACCCCTGCATTACGAAGCACGTTGGCAAAACCTAAGCCACATTTGTGCTACTAAACAGTGTTTGCTAGATGGCACGGGTTAATGATCTGCCTATAGACAGCGATAATGACGACACCTCATAAGTACCTGATATAATTAACACACAAGCACAAAGTACTTACCAAACTGTCTAATTCGTGGTTAGCTGAAAATAAGGGCTTTTCTGAGCGTGCCTGAAAAGATGCAAAGTTACACATTGAAAACTGAATCCATCGCTTCTTCGGTAAGTTAATAAGTAGGTAAGGAAGAGGTGAGTAAGGAGGTAAGTAGGTAGGCAAATAAGACAGATCAGTAATGTGCGTAAGGAGTGTAGGTAACTAAAAAATAAATAATAAGTGGGTAAGTATTGGGCAGGTAATTAAAAATGTTGCTAAGTAAGTTTGCAAATAGGTAGGTTAGTACGTGAGTAATGTTAAAAAAAGGTTCAATGTAGAGTCCGGAGACCCCCAGTGTGGGTTCCGGGATCCCATTGTGGAGAAAACAAGAATAGACCCACTGCCTCCCCAAAAGCATGTCGTAAGAGTCGACTAATTGGGAAGCTTCCTTTGAAGTCGGAGTGCATCTGGCGGAGAGGCAAGGAACCAACAGTCTGTATTCAAGAGAATGAGATCTGTAAAACTGATGCACACGCAACACTCAGGTTCTGGAGCAAGACTGCAGTTCAGTAGTGGACGAGCAACCAGAACTTTCCGCCAGAGTGTACAGCTGGTGAACGCGAAGAAGAAGAAGAGTCCGGAGAAGTAAAGGCGACCCGCGTAATGTTGACCACATCACCTACCGAGTGCCGATTGGCTTTAAAATAAGGTCTAGCCCTATATGCCCAATACTCCTCAAGGAGTGGGAAAAGGGTTCTTTGTTTACTTATTCGTTACCAGTTAGATCTTCTACAGATAACTGGGTCAGTGAAAAAGTGTGTAGTTAGGTCATCTATAAATAACTGGGTCTGTGTAAAAGTGTGTAGTTAGGTCATCTACAAACAACTGAGTCTGTGTAAAAGTGTGTAGTTAGGTCATCTACAAACAACTGAGTCTGTGTAAAAGTGTGTAGTTAGGTCATCTACAAACAACTGAGTCTGTGTAAAAGTGTGTAGTTTGGTCATCTACAGATAACTGGGTCTGTGTAAAAGTGTGTAGTTTGGTCATCTACAGATAACTGGGTCTGTGTAAATGTTTGTAGTTAGGCCACCTACAGATAACTGAGTCTGTGTAAAGTGTGTAGTTAGGTCATCTATAAATAACTGGGTCTGTGTAAAAGTGTGTAGTTAGGTCATCTACAGATAACTGGGTCTGTGTAAAAGTGTGTAGTTAGGTCATCTATAAATAACTGGGTCTGTGTAAAAGTGTGTAGTTTGGTCATCTACAGATAACTGGGTCTGTGTAAATGTGTGTAGTTAGGTCATCTACAAACAACTGAGTCTGTGTAAAAGTGTGTAGTTAGGTCATCTATAAATAACTGGGTCTGTGTAAAAGTGTGTAGTTAGGTCATCTATAAATAACTGGGCCTGTGTAAAAGTGTGTAGTTTGGTCATCTACTGATAACTGTGTCAGTTTAAAAGTTTGTAATTAAGTAAAACGGATGTGCACACAATGCTCAAGTTTCGGGGGTGGAGGAACCCAAGTTAAGAAGAGGACGAACCATCAGAAATTCCCACCAGCGTCTACCACCTGGAAGAAAGAAGGCGACTTCTCTTTAGAGCACCACTTAGCTTTGAGAAATTGTTGTGTTGTCTATATGTAGCAGCCAATGCTTGACAAATTTTTTCTTTTTATGTATAACCTAGTGTATGTAAAACCGAAACGGCTTCATACATCCAAAGTAGCATTTATCACTGGGAGACCATTACCGTATCAGTTTTTTTTGAAAATTAACTTTCTTTTCCTGCACACTTCAAACATTTTGTGGTCAATTTAAATTGCGGGGAGTTCAATACCAGGTAAAGTGTCGAATAATACTGGAGGGAAATTATTTTTAAATTTACAGAAACTATATTTGGAAGGTCCATAAATCTCCCGCCAAACTATAATGATTATATCATTAGATAAAGGGTATCATAAGGGTGGTCGGGCGTGTCAAATATCCCTGGCTTTGAAAAGCCGGCAGGCTGGGAGGTCTTAAAGTAAAACTGACATACGAGCAGGCTCGCTTGAATTCAGTTTGTTCAATTAAAAATCGATATGCTAGCACGAGATCAGGAGAACGCATTGAAGGCTGGGATAACGGAGAGGTCGATAAATACATTAATAAACATACGCAATGAGGGTGGCGGCGATGACGCTGCTCTTGTTACTGTTGTTTGGAGATAATGATACATGCGAGATTTGAACTCTCTTCATCCCCTTGTGGATTTCGGCGCCCTTCTGGGAAAGGGGGGGGGGGCAGGGGGTTAGGCCCACTGCCTCTTTAACATGCATGTCGTAAAATGCGACTAGTAAGAGGTATTTTAGGTTAGCAGCAGTAAAAAACTGGACCAAAATTTGCCTAGAAAAACCACAATAGCCAACAGTTGCTGGGGTTGGTCTGCAACGCTTTGTAAAGAATACTTTAACTGCTGGAGAGCAGCCGCCTGTTACATAATTCTTCTTCGGCTCGATAAGCTAACGTGTGGCAAGTGGACGACTGCTGCTCCAAAAGAAAGATTCCCTAAATCAATGACTGACAGTATTATTATAAACACATTGGGAATTCATCTTTAGTTTTGTATCCTTTACAGACGTTGCAGAACCAATCGCAGCGTTTCTTGGCTGTTGTGGTTTTTCTTGCCAAATTTACGTCCAGTAGTTTGCCATTGTTTCCTGCACGGTAGGCGTCTCAATACCACTGTCGAAACCAACGCAAGGCCCCCAGCTGGAATCGAACCCGGCACCCCGGCATTACGAAGAGCGTTCGCAACGCCCAAGCCACAGACCCCGACAATTCATACAGAGGTTAAATTACATTACTGGGCTGACTCCCACAGTTCCCACAGAAACTAAAACTGGTAAAGTTCTGTAAATTTTTCAGAAATATCATTAAAAATCTCAAACCTAACATGCAACTTCTAAATCTGGGTCGGCATCATTATCAAGGTCAGAACGAAGCCAAGACAAAACCAATCACTGTGGAGGGCTGATTGTTATCGGAAATTGGTCACTTCAAGAGAGTGGTAAGGCGGCCTGTCTAGATCATCAATCATTGTTAGCAAGGATTAACACTGCGGAGGGAGAAATGGCACGCTGGCTCCTGTAAAAGGGACACGACAGTACGTTTGTAGTTGAGGGGGGATGGGAAACGGTTCCGATGTGTTTGGCAATTCAAAGAGGTCGCTACAGTTTATGTCGAGGGATCGATATACGCTAACACTGGGTTAGCGGCCGTTTTCAATGTGTATGTGAGGCTCGACACACATGTTTGGGTTAGTTATATGAGTCCTATGTTCTGCGGATTTTTCTTCTTCTTTCTTCTTCTTCTTCTTCTTCTTCTTCTTCTTCTTCTTCTTCTTCTTCTTCTTCTTCTTCTTCTGCTCCTCCTCCTCCTCCTCCTTCTTTTTCTTCCATCTTCTCTTCATTTGTCGTCCTCCTTAAGCTTTTTATTCCTCTTCATTCTCTCTTCCATTTTTTAAATGTTGCTTTCTTCTTTTGTTCTTTATGTGTGTGTGTTAGAATTAACTATGAGATTCTTCTTCTTTGTCCTATTCGGCACTTTTTTCCCGCAATGGAACATGACACCTCAAACCTCTCACACAAACTCCTTTTTATCTTTTACTATCTCCTGTTTATCTCTATAGGTTCCATGTTACACATATTTGTCTCTTATTCTCTTTACATTGTGGATAATGTCCCCGACTTCTGTGTTACTTTGATGGTTAAAGGTCTTTGGCGAAGAAGAAAAAATGAAAAGAGGGGGGGGGGGGAATTTAGTCCCTTATTAAGCTTGCTGTAACAAGCTACTAGGATAAAGGGATTGCTTCTTCTTAACCTTCACCGGCTCGAACCATCGGTGGAAAGTTCTGATTGTTCGTCCACTCCTGGAGTTTGGTCTGGATCCAAAACGTCAGTGTTGCCTGTGCATCCGTTTTACATAGCTGGCTTTTGTGTATGCAGATTGTTGGTTTCTTGCCTCTACGACTTTGAAGAAAACACCCCTAATTAGTCGCCACCTAAAACATGGTTATTAGAGGGGTGGGGGGAGGGAGCAGTGGGTGTATTCTTTGTTCTCCAAAATGGGGATCCTGGAACCCCTACGGGGAAAGGGTTTGCTGACAACAGCTTATCGAAACTATCCTCTAAATGGCAAACGCCTAAGAAAAAAGTCACCAAAGCCTTGAAGATACCAACTTGTTTCGTTTCACTCCAACTAAATGGTTACGCCTTTTTTATGTATCGCGTGTGTGAGCGTGTGTGTGTGTGTGTGTGTGTGTGTGTGTGTGTGTGTGTGTGTGTGTGTGTGTGTTTGTGTCTATTTAAAAAGAAATGACAAACATACACACACTCACATACAGAACGTTCTTTCTAATGAATATACACAAAGCCTGATTACAACCAAAGCAAATCCTTTTGTAATGGCTTTCATTCGTAGCTGTATGTGAACGATAAGAAGTCGCATACAGTACCACGATTTGTCAATAGAAGCGGAGTTTATGGTAACTTTCCCCCCACTCTGGGTAGGGTGACCAGGTGTTCTGTTTTCTCTGGGACAGTCCCGAAATGGCGTCGATGGAAATGAAAGAGCTGACAGGTTGGCTGGATCCGCTATCACTACCGACGGTCAGCCTATGGATCATGCTGATATTATCAATGCCCTCAGAGAAATGGGAAGAATAGAGGACTTTGGTGGCAGTGAATCCACATCACTCGCCAGAATGGCAGACTTGGGAATTAAGATCGGCATAGCAAAAAACGAGACGCACACCAGCTACGCCAGAAGACTTGTTAATCAACATAGAACTGGTACTATTAGCCATCGGACGTTGGGGTTCATACTGAGGGGAGGATCTGAGCACCTATGGACATGTCCGGAGTGCAATGACGATAACCCAACTAACTAACTAACTAACTAACTGACTTAGTTAGTAACTAAATAACTAAGTCCCGATTTTACAGGTGTGTCCCGTCGTTTCTTCATAGAAGCGCCGATATTTCCGTTTGATAAAAATCTAGAGTATAGAAAATAATTTCATAGATCATGATACTTCAAT